GTTTTTTTTGCTATGTTTTCGCTTTTGGGTACTCCACCTCGCGTGCTTGTGAAAAGTTGTTTTCCCCCTAAACAACTTTCTTGAGCAGGGGGATATTTGTAAGGAATGGACACAAAAGTGCTGTGTTTAGGTACGATTTGTGGCTAAAAGGACTTGCAAGCGCCGAGGAACGCCAAACCGAAACTAAACAAGACGAGCGGAGGGCAGGTGGCACGAAGGCGATAACAAGAAAGGAAAAAGAAGAGGAGAAGAAGAAGGAACGTGCGAAAAGCGAGCTCGAGCGTGGAGGCCACGAAGGCAGACGAAGCAGTGCGCCGCTCGAGAGGACGTGTTACTGGGAGCGTTCCTGAGCCGGACGTGGGACCCGTACGTGTCGGCCAGGTCGAGCTCCGGCGTGTTCCCTCGGGGTCGAGTCCGCCGGCCGGTACAAGGTGCAAGGACGGGGCCTGCTGAACGGCTTCTGCCTGGGTGCAGTGGCCGGGAGCAGGTTCATGGCGAGGCCTACCGGGCGTGGTCCTCGTGAGCCGGGGCCTGACCCTGAACCTCAGGAGTTGCGACCCTGACTGCTGGCCGCGACGTCTGACTAAACGGCGCTGCACACGGTAGCGTATCCGTGCGTCGTCAGCCGTTCCACCCATGCCATGAAATAAAAAGTTCATGTTAATGCTTTCTCGTCCGCTATCAACAAACATAGTGACGAACGTTCGTTTAACCATCACAGGGATGCAGACAAAGCACTGGAGCATCTACACTAACCGAAGAGCGGTGGAAGGCCAAGTTATCACGCCCGGGCCTGAAGAATCAGCGCAGCATGAATCAACGGGTGCGGCAGATGGCGAAGGCCCGTGGTTACCTGGAATAAGGAGGCCGCCCACCTTCGGCGCGCAATGCGTTTGCTCAAATAAAAGTTCATTCTCTCTTTCTCTCTCGGATAGCATGCCTCCTCTAGGCGTGTATGCGCCTAGGCAGACACCCAACGCCACATCTCTATTTCTATATTTCACAGTATGCCTTCATTCATATTGTTACGTGAATCTCTAGTCGGTAGACCATAGGTTGTAGCCTATGGAAACGGTGTATTTTCCATAGCGTTTGCATCGCAGACCTGTTCAGCTCAGAGGCCGAGCGGACAGAGATCTTCATTCTCTTCGTCAGGCGCACACTCACATGTTTCAGAACGCTGGCGATACGTACGTGGCAATATGAAGAGCGCGTTCACCGTGAGCCGGAAACATACCAAACACCGTATAGATGATTCTTTATCAGCGTTGGGAGATGGTGATTATTTCGCCAGTATTTTGTCTCCTCATAATGGAATGACTCCCACTAGAACCGATTTTTTTTTGCTTACTATTGCACCTTTGTTCTCGAATAAGCACCACGAAATACCACAATCGCTACACTCATGTTTCTTTCAAAGGAAGCCTTCTCAAGTAAAAAGATGGTGTCACTCTAGTTTCCCTTCTTTTAGGGGTGAAGCTCCTCAGGCCGTGGGTCATTCTCTCCTCGGTAGTCGCAGTAGTATATATGTAGCCACCTCTAGTTTATGAGTTGCTCAATACATGACGTTGGGTCTATATGTCCTTGGGAATAATATGACTAGATATGGTGGTAGTAGTTTTCACAGCATATTCACGCAGTGAATGATGATGAGTGGGGCGAAGCGTCCATCCGTCCGTCCGTGTGTCCATTCATCCGTCCACCTATCCATCCATCCATTCATCCATGCTTCCGTCTGTCCGTCCATGCGTGTGTCCATCCGTCCGTCGGTCCAAGCGTTCGTGCTTATGCCCATCCATTCATCCGTGCGTGCGTCCGTCCGTTCGTCCGTGAGTGCGTCGGTGCGTCAGTCTGTCTGTCTGTATGTCCGTGCTTCTGTCCGTCCATGCATCCGTCCATACGCCCCTGAGTCCGTACCTCTGTGCGTCCGTCCGGGCGGACAGACACTTTGTCCCACTCATCGTCATTCACTCCGTAAATATGCTGCGATTTTTTTTCAACCAAGGTCAGCAACACTACCTTTATATGGTTTCATTACGTGAAGCGTACACTGTGTTGCAGTACATAGAGCCACACGTGTGTCAATCTACTAAGCCTAATATTCTATCGAAGAGCGATATAACACGCCCCACATTTTCAGTGTTGAAAAAAAACGTTAAACACTTCGTTTGAAAAAAATTTTGCATACCGATGTTAGTCCATGCTACATTATTTCTTCGTTTACTAGATCCCGTTAAGGTACGCACTAGTCTCACATATCTGACTACTTCCCTTGAGACGAAGCATAACATCGCGTCTGACGTCATGTTGGTTTCGCAGGGACAATACAATGACCCTAGTCTACGTCATGTGCGAGGATGATTTTAATCTTGGGATCGTTGCTGTGAAGTCGGCCGTAGCCTACTCCAGCACAAGGCTTCGCCTTATAATCATCGCAGATAAGCTGAACGAGAAAAAAATGCGAAAAGAGGTAAGTCTGTAAACATTTGACAAAGCCTTCTAGAGATGCAATTTTTTTTCAAAAACTTATCTCGTGAAACATTGCACAGAGCAACTCTCGGTAATGTAGTTTTGAGGGAAGCAGTGCTTTTGAAGAATCTGAGGAGCGAAGCTCCTTAGGCGCTTACAATGGCCGACCGTTGTCATCGAGGATCGCTGTCGTCTCTCGTCGAAGCGCAGGCGCAAAAATTAGTGCGTAGTAGCGTGTCTAGAGCGTACGCAGTGCGCATATGGTTTAAAAAGACACAGTACTCTGATCATCCGTGCACCTGTCCACCCATGCGTGCATCCGTCCATCCATGCATCCATCCATCCGTGCGCACGTGCGTCCATCTGTCCATCTGACTATCCGTCCGACCGTCCATGCATCTGTCCGTCCTTTATTACACTACTCGGTGACATTAACGTAGACATTATGGACCTTAGGACTTAGCTTCGCATCATCATCTGAATTCGTGGGTCTGCAGCAATTTTTCTCCTCATTTCACTCGAGCGAAGCAGTGCACACGTACTAACCTGGTTTCAGCCGGTTAAGAGGAATAATTGTATTACTCACTAGGCCTCAATCAAATTTTATTGTTCTCTAAATTGTGTTAGCGTATTCTTCTCTACATAACGTCAAATACGCCATATGTAGCTAATAACTCAAAATTCATTTGTAATACATAATCTTTCCCCGGGACTTGATTTATCTTGTTGGTTCAATTGTTGTGCTTCGAAATCGTCCCGGCAAAGAACCACGTGTTATCTGAATCATGGCGGGCGTTCCAAGCTTAAATGCGTAACTGCTAAACCATTCGAGAGATTTGTGGCAAAACAGGCCGGCATAACTCTATTCTCGGTGCATCATTTCCATATAGTGTGATCATCATTATCAACAACATCATCATGATCATGATCATCATCCTCATCGTCGTCATCGTTGTCATCATCATCATCATGACTACGTCGACTGCGGGACAAAAGCCTCTCCCATGTTCAACTTGGTCCTGTGCTTTCAGCTGCCATTTTATACCTGCCATACAGTGTGATAAATTTCAAATAATTGGCACACTTACAAAAACACTGTTTTTTCAGCCCACGATAAAACGGTACACACTCAGAAACGGTAGTCCGCACCTTGCACGAGATCAGCAATGCAATATTCATTTCAAGATTAGAACCCGTCGACATGTTTTGCAGTCAAACGAACGGGCTTCACGTACAAACGTTTCAGTAAGAATTGCGCCTGTAAAATCTCAAACGATTGAGTGAAACGTAAACAAGACAAATTTAAAACAACAGGTCGAAGTGCCTTTGGCATCATTCTGCGTACCGTAAAGACGGCACAGACGCGCCAAAGTTAGAGCCATCACCTCTCTCCTACGTGTTTTACCCATCGCAGGTTTCTTCCAAGATGGCGAGCGTTGGCGACGTACGCCCGCTCAGCCAAGCGTGTAATTTGGGAGCGAGAGCACCGGCCGGGCAGCCATCGTCCACTAAAGGTTTCATAAATTAAAGGACCCTCATAAAGAAAATGTGTGAATCTATGTATTAGTTGTATAGGATATGTAAATTGGAAATATTTTAAGAAACACCTTAGCTGGCCCTGCTCATAGGTAATTACAACCTAATTAAAATCGCCTTTTGTTGGTGATTTCGGGACGTTAAATCCCACATATCAATCAATCAAATCGCCATTTATCCTCGGAAACGACAAAAATGTGCTTGTATGTCCATCCTTAGTTAACATAAAAAGGTGACGTTTAGTGGGTACGTAGTATTCAAGAGCTGAGCTAGGAAGCAGGATACACAATTGCTCCATGTGATAATTACTTACGATTAATTAAATGTTTCTTCAGACCATGTGTCTGTGTTTGCTTCAAATATTTCAAGGAATATGTAAAGTGGGGTGTTTGTACATGTACGTACAAGACTACCCTGCAGTAGTGCACAAAACCCTTTGTCTCTTTGGAGGAAAAGGATGACGACACTCGTCGGGCCCTCGCGTAGCATGCCTTTTCCCGTGCGCTCACATGGCGGTGTTAGTTGACGTCAAGTGCGCACTTGTACGCTCCGCTTCAGTCACCTCACTAGTATCTAACGTCGTAATGTAGAAGCAAGGGTGCGTTTGACAGTAATCTGCCTTTTTCACGATGACCCAGCGCATGAGCCTTTTCTCTTGCGCGAGGATCGCACATCGCCCCATCCTCTCGGAGGCATTCGTTTTCGCAATATAGTAGAGGGCAGCGCAGCAAATTGAAAAAAAAGGCGAATTCTCACCCGACTAGCGACTGCCTGTAGAGCAAAGGCGGAGGGGTATTAAATTGAATTTTCGAAGTTTGCGTGTGGTAAAAAAGAGCTCTTCGCTGAGAGTATTTGTTTATCATGTTTTCATGTGATCTTGCTTTTTTTCTTCTTTCATGGCCTGACACACCCTTCTTCCTTCAAGTACTCCTCCTGGCCGGAAAACGTCAGGAAGCGTGTCAGCTGTGACGTGGTACCTTTGTGGTTTCCCAAAGAAAACGGCCACAACTGGCAGCTATTGTTCAGGCCGTGCTCTACTCAGAGGCTTTTTTTACCGGTATGTGCCCACCGCAGATTGTATCAGACACATGGCTACATTTATCGCGCCACCACTTTTCTTGTCTGAGCTGGTGTAAATTTGTACAATTCTTCGGAGCGATCACGTTCCAAAAAAAGCGCAGTTAAGCAAGCAAACCGACTGAAACACCGAAAACTATTCTGAAGCCGTATTTCGACAGGCTACATAACCTTTATTTTCGCAGAACACGCTTCCTGATGTGGATGCCGTCCTCTACGCCGACACGGACGTTATATTTCTCCATCCTATCGAAGATTTTTGGAGAATGTTTTATGCCATGAATGAATACCAGATGGCTGGCATGGCACCTGAAACCGAAAACTTAGAAAACAACTACTACTTAAAAAGGAAAAGTGTTCCACCCGTACGTACAACCTTTAGGTAAGCAAGGCTGTTCGTAAACATGTCAACTTATATATTACAAATACACACAGCCGGTGCAGCGGTTATATGTAATCTCAGGCAGGTTTGCGAAACAGCAGTGGCGAGCACACAGTAACTTTGAACAGCGTAGGCCACTGGCGTCGTATTATTATTGAAGGTGGCGTGTTGATCATGACTTGAACAGGATATAATTCGCTCCTTGTAGGCGCGACAATGCAGTTATATCTCTTTACAACTAAATCTGGTAAACCATTAGAAATTTTTGAAAAACATTGCTAACTGGCGAGGCATCCCGATGCATTGAACCCATACTATTTAAATAGGCCATGTGATACACACTTTGCATTATAAGCGCGCAAAACACTTTAAAGAAGAAAACTAGTCACTTATCGTGCAAGTAAACTTTAATTAGTCAAACGTTTTCAACCCTGATGCCCTATAAACATGACACCAACGAATATTCGTTCAAATTGTGGCATAGTTATCCGATAAGTAAAAACTAGGAGTTTGAAGAGTCCTAGTCTCTAGAGAAGTTTGAAGAGGCCAGAAACGTATTCACTTTAATTAATAAACGAAGCAGGCAACAGCTTACAAGACCAAGCAAGTTTGCTTGGCGCACATTTTGAGCATGTGCTCCAGCTCGTCAAACTATTTTCAAGCATTCAAACGGTGTAAGGCAATGATAGACGAACATGAACGGGAATGAAAGTGTGAAAAAAAATAACAAGGTCTACAACCAACCGTTGTCCTTGGCTGAGCTGCAGGCAGCACTAAACTCATGAAACCTATCGGCCCCAGGTTGTGACAAAGTAACATGAAATGTTGAAACACTTGCCCCTGAAACGCTCCCGTCTTTGTAAAACGCTGTATAACGTTCTGACGAGATCCCCTCTGCGTCGAAAGAGGCGTTTATAATTTTTGTCATCCAACAGGGGAAGGATTCATCTTCAGTTTCGTGCTATCGTCTTGCGGCACTAACAAGCTGCATGTGCAAAGTCTTCGGAAAAATTGATAAATTACCGATGGTTACATTTACTTCAGTCGAAAAAACTGCTCGACCCCTATCAGTGTGGGTTCACGAAGTTTCGATCCACAACTGATCCTCGCATCGAGACGCAAATAAGTGTAGCTTATGTTCCTAAGCAATTCTTTTTGTCTGTATTCCTTGACATGCAAAAAGGCTTTCAACATTACAAGGCTGTTCCGAATACTTAAAGACTTCTCACACTTGGGTATCGTGCTAACATATTAGGTGTGATAGAAAGTTACGTGTTCAATCGCACTTTCCATGTTCGAGTGAGCAATTTTTCGATGAAGAATGTTTGTGCAATAAACCGGAGTTCCACAAGGTGAAGTGCTCAGCCGTACTCTTTTTATTGTAGAAATGAATTTCTTACGCCGGTGCATACCACGCAATATATTTTACTAAAACTATGTTGATAACGCACAGATGGGGATTAAATCCTGGTCCCTGCCGATCTGTGAGCGCCAGTTTTAACTCGTTTCTAACAAAGTCTTCAACTGGGCAAAGAAAGTGCATTCACACTGAACCCACAAGAAAACACGGGCTTACGTTTTTCAAGAGATTCCTGCACCCCGATCCAACCATTCCTACCAAAGGTCAACGTCTACCTGTCAAACCAGAGCATTAATTTTTATGGATTATTTTAGACGCAAAGCTCACAATTATAGAGCACATCAAGTACCTCAAAAGCAAGTGTCTGAAAACAATGACCATTCTGAGAGTACTCTCACGCACAACATGGGGCAGTGAGAGGAAATGTCTCTTGAACCTACACAAAAGCTTATTACGCACACGTATGGACAATGAGGCTGTAGTCTATCAGTCTGCCACACCAAGCGCTTTAGCGATGTTGCACCCTGCCCACCATAGGTATATGGCTTTCCACAGGTGCCTTTAGGACAAGCCCTGTAGAAAGTCTAATGTTGAATCAAACGAGTGGTCACTACACTTACAGAGATCGTACTTATAATTCGTATATTTTCTAAAAGTAAATGAAAAGAATGAACATCCTGCATATTCTACAATAAATGATGTGTCCAGCTCTCAACCCTTCCAAAACCGCCCGGCAGTGAGAGGGCCCTTCTCACTCCGAGTAAGAGAACTGGCTGACGAAGCAGATGTTCCTTTACTTGAACATCAAATTCTAGCTCCTGAAAAACAGCTCCCGCCATGATACTGGCTGGTTATCGGCTGTGACGTTTGTTTTGTCGATGTTACAAAACAAGCCCTCGGTGCACATATTCTGTGTTCACGTTCTAGACTTTTTAGAACTTTGGCACAAACACTCCTTCACAGAATTTTTTACGGATGCATCGAAGACCTATGCCGTTGTATCTTTCGCAGCAGCCGGTTCCTCTTTTTGTGATTCTGGCACGCTGCTTCCGAAAACATGCATATTCACAGCATAGGTTTACGCCATGTAATCCGGTGTTAAGCATATCAAAGAGACAAGGATACGAACATAACTTACATACACAGGCTCTCTGAGCGTTTTAACAACAATAAAATTACTTAAGCACAAAACCCAGTGCTTGTGTCACTCTACACACTCCTGTGCGCTGCTTGTGCTTCGAAGCTACATGTCGTATTATGCTGTGTACCAGGGCACCGTAACATTGAAGGCAGTGTGCTGGCAGACGAGCTTGCCACCTCCGTCGATACAAAAGCTGGATACTAATCTATACCTGTCTATTTTCTTGATGTTAAACCTTTCATACGTTAGAGACTACGGATGTACTGCCAGCGTCTGTGAGGCGGCGAGTCTAGCAATAAGCTTCACCTCATAAATCCGCATCTAGGGTATTGGCTCCCTACCACGAGATCAAGACAAAATGTGGTCCTACTAGAGAGACTGAGAATAGGACAAACTTACGGCACCCACAACCATATTTCAATTGGCGGTGATCCTCGGACCTGTAGTGTGTGTAGTGACACTGTTCATGTCCTAATAATGTGAGCAGAATCGGAACGTCCAAGGAGAAAGTATTTCTCTAAACGCTACCGTGAGCAGATCTCCCTTCATCCAGCGAATGTTTTTAGGTAACCACGAATGCTTTGATCATCAGTCTGTTTAAAGCTTACTTAAAGAGTCCCGCACATTGAACAATATTTGGACTTAGGATTCGTAGCACATCCTCTTCAAGAAAATGCTGCTACGACATTATCTGTTTATGCACTGCCCTCCAGTCCCTTGGGCGCAAGGTTTCTTGAGAGGTAGTAGTGCTGTGTACGACGACAACTTTTCAAGCACACTGTGTACATGTTGATGTTTTATCCTAGTCCACCCAATACATTTGATGCCCCTCATTATCTTAATTCTGCGATTTTATGCACCTTTAGTGCGAATGATTTTTGGTCCTTATACAGCCACCAAATATCATCATTGTCCTCATCCCATATCATGACCTGGCGCTCTTTGGCCATCACTAATCTTTGCGCCATAAAGCCTCCTATGTCATCATCATCATACCTTTACAAGATTGACAACTGTTAGAAAGGAGCCTGATGTTGATAAAGTATTTTTCGTGCGAATGATTACTTGTAGTGATTACAGTGAGCGATAATGATTACAGTGAGCGAAAAAAATGAAAAAATGAAGGGGAGCTCAATTTTGCCAAATAATTGCCACAAAATAGTGTAACGCAATACTGAAAATTCCCTTAATATTTCTAAAGAACCACGTTTGGTGACAGTATTTTCCAACATCTTGAAAACCGCTCTTAAATTTTTCGTCGAAGAGCTCAAAGGTTGCAAAAAACGGTATAGCCATGTGCTGGAAAAAGATCAATGAAGAAGACAGATCGTTTTCGTTCAATTCACGCGCCGCAGTAACAACCAATGGAATCGGGCGATGATCTAATTTAAATAAAGCCAATTTTCTACTGATCAGGAGGCTCGATTTTCTTCAAATGGTGCCGAAACCCATGGAAACAGTGAACCACAATGATGGCGCCAAAGTAATTATTCGCCTTCGTGTTTAGAACTGCCGACATAGAGCTGCTGATCATGGAGACGGAACGTGGAAGGTCTCAAGCTGAAGCATGAAGCCGAAAATGCTGACTTAACACGACTTATCAACGAGGCTGAAGCAACGCTCTCTCCAAACAGCGTTACGGAAGAGAAGCCCGAAAGAGCAAGCGCGTGCTCTGAAACTTATGCAAGGGAACTTTGATATCTCAGCCTTCCTATTCATCTTTTTGTTTTTTTTTAAATGCGGTTCTTGATCTAGGAACTCAACACCTTTGCAATTTTCACGCTGCAGTATCATCGCATTACTATGTATATGAGGTTCGCCGAAAGGGACATTAGGGAGCTTCAAAACAAGGCTATTTGCGCCTCTATGCCGCATCAAGCCGCAAACGATGCAATGTTACCGAATTACTTGTCGTGGTTCAAGGCCTGTAACAAACACGTCTCAACAGTTCCATTCCCGATCAAGCCCGTTGCTAAGCCAACGCATTCATGTCTCAGTAACCATTGGACGTTGCTACGGGTGTATCGTAAAGGCGCGTTTACACTAGAAAGACACGCCGCCAATTTTGGTCTGCAGGCTGTCTTTGGGAGTGTTTTTTGTCTTGTTGTCGGCCTATGTACACTGCAAAGACACAAAAAGTCTCCTGGTGGTCTCTCAAAGACTCCGACCACACCTCTTCGTGCTCACAGTTTTTCGTTGGCCAATTCTGTAGTCACATTGGAGGCACACGAAGCGACACCGACTAAACTTGCAAACCTTCACCTCATTTCAGCCATGCTCCTACTCTGCCATTGTCCCTTTCCGGCTACGCGGCGCAGCCACTGCCATAATCCATGGTAACGAGGGACGGGGTTGGGAATACACAATACGGTAGTGAAGAAAAGACTTCCGTTGGGTGCTCGAACTGCCTATTCAGACGCCGCGGAAGCCTCGGAGTGGGAATTGTTAACTCCCCCAAGATTGCTCGCTTCGTGGTCGTTAGAAGCAACGACATGGGGCGAATTTTCCCTCAGCTGCAGATCTTCCCGAAGACACGCCTGACGACAGGTCTGCGGATGTGTTTTGCTGGTCTTTTCAGTCATTCATGACTCATGACGTTACACTACGATGAAATGCTGTCTTTTGAGGCATCGTCGTCGACGTCGTCGTCGTCGGACTAGTGTCACCATGGGGTCTGGCGACATCGTTAGTGGGCGACTCGTCAGCCGACTGGTTAGCGTGTGCCTCGTGTCTTCGTCGGAGCCACGTCAGTGTCGTGTCACTCGAGTCTAAACGCGCCTTAACAGGGAGCTTGTTGACTTCATACAGTGGCCCATTGTGTCTGTTAGTAGCTGCTTATCTGAAGAAAAATATCACCCATACTTCTCTTTCGTGCCTCTTCCGACTGCGCAGGTCTGAATGCAGGGTTGATGATGATGAACCTAACGCGCCTGCGTGCCTTCGACCTGGAGGACCACATCACACGTCAGCTCGAGGAGTTCGAGGAGAGAATTAGTTTTGAAGACCAGGACCTGCTGAACATCTTATTCGCCCAATATCCTCAAGGATTATTCACCTTCTCGTGCCGCTGGAACTACCGTAGAGAGCACTGTCTAGGCGGCGCCCTGTGTGCGGACGGCCCCATCGCTGCGATACACGCCTCGCGAAAGGTGGTCCACCACAAGATAGAGCCGGCGTTCGTCGCTCTTCATACGGTCATGGCGAACGTAAGTGCCCCTTCGCTTCATAAACGGTGACGCGCTCGGGATTTAAGCGAAGTTCTCGTGAGTTTATATCTCGGTGGTGGCAGTGGCACAGTACGCTGAAAACCAGGTGCAGGTGACTGTACAGAATGCGTTGTGAGGGGTTCCACCAAGTTCCAAAGGCCAGCACAAGAAAGTAACGTACAGTACAAGGCCCGAGTGGATAGAAACGCGCGTGTACACAAATTCGATTATGAAAGGTGTACTGGTCGCGTGTCTCTTTCATTTCATTTCATTGATTATCATCTCATGTGGTATTCCATTTCATAGATTTTATCGTTTCGCGCGTAAAATTCACTGTAATGCGCGTGAAGTGTGGCGCTGCCAAGAAATCCGGTAAATGTCCAACTCCTGCACGAAAGAAGGAAAAGATACACGCATCTATATGAAGATGAAGCAAATCGTGCCAAATGGGTGAAGCGCTGCAGATGGTTTGGTGTTACTTTAAATCACCCGTGACATTGCTCAGTCACGTATGCAAATGAGTGTCCACCTTTGGTAGAGAACGCTTCAGCAGGCGTTTTTTGCACCTTCAACTCTGAGCTAGCTTGTTTGCGTTGCCACTTTGCCGCTCTTACGGTGCTGTCGTCTTCTATTTTGTTCTGGTTGATGGCCTTACGTTTTCTTCTTGTGAGCCTTTTCTTTTCCGCATATGCTTTTAATAATGACAGGTTCAATGTCGGTATGTTTAGGGTGTTGTGGCCTTTTATTTTGTTTGTTCTGGCTAATAACCTTTTGTTAACGTTTCATTGTTCACAAATTATCTTGGGTTGCTCGCATGCACTTGCGCTACGTGTTCTGTATACGCCAACCGTTGGATTATAGATGGAGGGACATTGTTTAAGGTGCTGGACCCTAAAAGTTACAGCACGTCCTTTAACACTAGGAACGCACACGCCAATATTAAATCGGCCCCATTGTTCCGATACGGGTAGGGCTCGTAATTTCTTTTTATATTGACCATAGGAATTTTTATGGGCACAGTGTGTTCTGAACTGGTATTCATGTCGTTGCGATTGACCTGTGGAGATGGTAAAGTCAGGAAAAAAAGGCTAGATTTTCTCTTACCAAAGTGCACGCCAAAAATATGGTTACATGAATGAGAAACTGTAGATCAGCTCCCAGTGCTAATAGTGTTTAACTCTACACATGGTAACGTGTAACCTTATGGCAGTTTAGAAGTGGGCAACAATAGCTTGAGTGCACCGTATAAAAGTAAAGACAACGTTGTTTGGCAGAACCTTCAGAATTTCGCATTGCCGCTCAACCGGGCGCCACTCAGTTGGCTGATGTTCACAGTTAGGCGGGTTGCGCGAAAAGCTTCGGAACAGAGAGACTAAGATTTGCTCTCTTTCTCTTTCAACATTCTCCCCCTCCCCCCAGAAGAAATTTTGCACCTACGCACTAGTGCGAAGACTAAACGGTGGAGATGCTGACATTCCCCTCCTTCTTTCTGCCCACAATCACTTCTCTTCCCCACTCCTCAATATACTGAGCTATAACTTTACTTCACCTTCTATCCTAGTCCTACCCGTGATATTTACTCTCTTTTCTCTTTCCCACCTCCTTGTTTTTCTATGCCTTACGTGACAATGGTACGCTTTCTCTTAGACGACGATAGTCTTTCTTGGAATATTTGAACAAAAAATATTTGGCTGTCTCCACCCGATTCTACCACCCAACCAAAGTTTAAGCACTCGCTGAAAGCAAGGTCGTCTTGAAAACAGGTGGCTGTGTTCACACTTGCAAACATCGTCCATCAAAAAAGCAAATAGTACGCAGATCTGAGGCGCAACATCAACACGTAAGTATTAGGTGATGTGTTCCTTTACTAGTCAATAGATACATACATATTTCTAGAGTTTCTAGTGTTTCTTTCGCCGTTCTGAAAATGCAACGCTATGCACTAAATAAACATGGCCGACAGAAGACTACCGTCTTTCGATGACATTTGCAGCAAGGCATGCTGACACGGGACCAATTCTTCTCTCTTTCTTTGTCGGCTTTTCTCTTTTTGCCTCCATCCGTTTCTCAGTCTTTCTTCGATTCTCTCTATTTTCCTTTCTGCCTTTCTCTTCGTTTCTCTCTTTTCTGCATCTTCCTTCTCTTCCTTTCTCACTATTTCTCCTTTCTATCTACGTGCTCGTTCTTCCACTCCTTTGTGTTATTGCAAAGAACACCTGAAAAATCGTGGTCGCACGTGTCTTGGAACGGAGGGAAATGAGAAGCAGAGGGCGAAGAGAGTGCGTACCGGCCTGAGCAACACGCTCAAAAGCACAGGTCTTTATTGAGTATGATAGATTTTGTTCACATGCATTACCTCAACCTGGCTCAAACAGCTCCAGTGTTAAAGTAATCTTTACGGTATTACTTATTTTAACGTTATTTTTTTTCAGTTCAAGCTTGGTCAAAATCTCGTGGATGACTTTATCGCTCCTCTCCGCACAAGTCTTCGGAACACAAATTTGACAGGCTGCACCAAAGAGCTCAGGAAGCAGCTACATCTACTTAGGCTGGCTGCAAGTCGTGTCGACAACAAGACTGCCCAGGCTGCGGCCGCAAACGAAATGTAGTCGCACAGCCCACGACTGCGTGGCTGCAATAAATGTTTACTGGTGATTTTGTTTTGTCAGATACTGCCTACATTACAGTATGTTTTTTTGCCTTGTTCAGTGCTATCAACCCTGTAGTTGACAAAGGAAGTTCGTGTTTAGAAGAAATAGACATTTCAATTAACCCGCTCACAGTGCACGTAAAGTGATAGCTGTTTCACCGTGGTAGTGGGTGAAGCGATTTGAGTCAAGTTTGTTGCATAGAAAGAAAAGGCTTTTAGACCACACAATCGAGTTGTGATGTAATATCTCATAGTTGTGGACTTTCCCGACGTGTTCAAGGTACAGTGAGAGAACAGTTGAAGTGTTGAGGCAACTTATATTAATCTGCAGACACACACACACACACACATATATATATATATATATATATATATATATATATATATATATATATATAATATTTATAAGAAACAAATGTATATAACAGCTCATTTTACCGTGTTTTGACACAATGATAATGAGATATAACACAAAATAACGCCAAGGAATGTATAGGGGAAGTTATTAGAACTAATGTAATGTAAACAAGAAGAAAGAAAAGTGGGTGAAAAAATAACCTGCCGTGAGCAGATATCAAACCTACGACCTGCGAAGGTCTTAGGTCTGATTTCTATAATGTGTGATAATGTGTGTGTGTGTGCACGTGTGTGCTTGTGTGTGTGTATATGAAAGTTCGCAAACCATCTAGACTTTTGACACTTAAAAACTAACATTTACGATACAAAACTTGTCAAACTAAACGAGTGTCTGCTGGCTTACAATGGCACTGCGCCATTAGAACATTTGGAAAGCAGCACAATATAAGCTTTCGACAGAAAATGAGAACTGGTAATGCAAGCAGAATAACGCACAGGCTATATATACAACTGCGCTTTTTAATATACTTGAAATCACCTCTCTGAAGTAGAGGTCGTATAGGTAAACGCGTTCCTTCTGCTCAGCTCCCTGGCTCGTCATCTTGGCATTGTAAGCACTCGGAGCTTGCCTAAGCGATGCACTGTAAGCGCAAATGCCCCCACGCTTCATACATTATAAACATTCCAGAAAGCATTATATTTCTCCGCAAAACTGGCAGGATAAAACTCGGAGTCGCCACCGACATAAAAGTTGACAAAATTGCTTGTACTCTGCTTTCTTATGGAGCAATCGAACGCATGAGGGCTCATATGCGATTCAGTGCTCTGGATATGGCAGACACTGCCGACAAAACGAGCGCATGCTGTCATTGAGGTTTTGATACTTCACAATTTGTAGTTAGTAGCCACTGATGATGTAGCGCAGCTCAGAGCGCTCCTTTCAAACCACACAAGTTTGAGTGAGACGCTTGGCGGATCCGTGCTGATTCTGATTATACGTGTTTTTTTTTTCTTTTGTGGGTCGGCAGGCTTCCTGACAAAGGTAATTTCTCGACGCAGTTTTGGCACGCCTGCATATTCATTTGTGCACCATGCCACTTAGCAGGTGTGCATACACCGATAAACGTCCAGTAGTGCATTGAACGCGCTAAATTACTCGCTTTCGCAGACTACAGCGCACGCGCTCCAAATGCAGACGCTTGGGAAATATTCAGTAGAAATAGGGAGCCTACATGACCGTCTGGCCATTAAGGCTCTATAAGTACAAAGTGACCACAGTGCCGCCACTACTGTCATTCGCCGGAAATCAGCCGAGAAGCGGGAGGGGTGCCTTGTTCATTCCACTGCCATCTTCTAGTAACACTGCACCTGCGTGCTGCAGATAAAGGCCCATGGGGCCGACACTCCATCCGCACAAGTATGGTTACTCCAGTGAGTGTCATAGTCCACAGAATACTAAAGGCAATAACGAAGAGATCATAAAATAGAAAAAAATAAACTGAGAAGCCGTCCCAGATTAGTCTACACGGTTCGTCGGGCCCCGCAACACATCAGAATTCATCGCATGTCCTTGTCCTGATGGTCACGCCGAATGAATTGATTGATTTGTGGGGTTTAACGTCCCAAAACCACCATATGATTATGAGAGACGCCGTAGTGGAGGGCTCCGGAAATTTCGACCACCTGGGGTTCTTTAACGTGCACCCAAATCTGAGCACTTGGGCCTACAACATTTCCGCCTCCATCGGAAATGCAGCCGCCGCAGCCGGGATTCGAACCCGCGACCTGCGGGTCAGCAGCCGAGTACCTTAGCCACTAGACCCCCGCGGCGGGGCCACGCCGAATGAAGCCTGCCCGCAAATCGCATCACAATATGTGATATGTCCTTGTCCCGCCCGTTGCACAGAGCGGAACGTGCTCGTAGCGCATGTCGGTGTTCACAATAGCCTGTGTCGGCATTCCATGACGGGTGTCAGCCCTGTGCTCGGTCGCAGGCTAGTTGACTCTGAAGTTGCTGCGGGGCCTTCTGCGAAAGGTAAGATTAGAACAGCTCGACAATATAAACGCTCCGCATCCTGACTAACAACAAGTACGAAGGACAGCTATGTCGACACAGAGGGGGGATGTGTTTACGCGTCTAGTGGGCCCTCGCGGTATAAGCTTTGAGGTCGCATGAGTTCACAGGGCCTATTACTAGACAACCGGTTTTGTTTTTGAGAAGGTATGCCAAGTTAATTCGTTTTACAACACCCTACCTTCCAATCTTGGTGTCACAGAACGAGCGCTAAAAAAGGGCGCGACGCCAAATTCTTGCGATAACGCGCGAAAGAGACGCCGCGAGGTCAAAAGAAAAAAAAGGAAAGAAAAAGAAAACAAACGGCCAAGGCTCCCCGGGCGCGCGCTCTCCCCGCAGAAGCGTGGCTTCATCGACGAACCTCCTCACCCCACATCGGCGGCCGAGATAGCCCGCGATGTTTCTAGAACGAAGGAGGCGTGGCCACGCCGAGTTGACTCATCCGACGCGGAGGGCAGTCGAACCGTCTCGCGCCTCCCGCAGCCTTCGTTGCGCATCGCGCCGACGAAATGAGGAGAACTTTCTGGAAGGTGGCGCGGAACGTATTTAATCGAGCAGCCGAGATGAGAGATGAGGAGGAGACGGAAGTAACCCCAGAGCGCGTAGGGATTCCGCCGTGTAGTCGGCGAAGGTTTTGGTCCGTAGGGACGAAGCCGGAGATGAAGAGAATTTCCACCTGAGGGGTGAAGGCTCGGGCTACAGGCAAGAGCGTGTGTTTACCGCTATCGAGCGAAGACCCGTGGCAACAGCTGCGGGTGTGAAGCCGACGTGTTCCGGCGAAGACGTTGAAGTTTGAAGAGTGGCCAATTGAAGACGGGAGGTTTCCTGGAAGAGAAACTTCGAGGGCTGCGGAACGACAACAACGCTGGACTTTGAGTGAGTGATTCTCGGAAGAGTATCATCTCGACTTTGGTTCCAAGAACTTTGGACTGAATAGGTTTTCTATCTCTTTAGTCTTTAAGTGTCTTAGTTGTTCAATGCATGCGACTGCATTTTAGTGCGTATTGTTGTCCGTGTCCGTTGTTTCAAGTGTGGCTGATTGTATTGTGTAGTACGTTGATTGATTGGTTTGGTTGGTGACATATTGTATGCAACTTTTGTGGAGTGTGCATTTTTGTGTATTGTTTTCGATCTGCCATTATTGAGAATATAATTTGTTTGTTTATCAACTCACGGCTCTGACTTGTTCTTTGGGCCACAACCGGCGTCCGCTGGCGCGCCAAAAAGGACCACTTCTAAATTGTCCACGCTTTCGTGGTGCGGTTCGGGGGGCTGATACTTCGGCTCTTGGAATTAGCCCGGCGATCGCCTCCCTAATTAACGGGACCGGTGTGACAATTAATCTGGCGTTCGCGACAGGACCTTTTGGTGCACAGTGTGTCCAAAGAAGTGAGAAAGAGCCTCGAGTTGTTGATAGTGCTATGGGAACGATTTTGTGTGTTGTCCAGTGTTCTCGCTAACGAGTGCAGGGGAGTGTTCCGATAGACTGATTTAGGCAGATACTTTTTGCACGCGGCAAGGTTTTATTTGCGAGTTACGAGACACAATGGATCTCGAAAAGTTAGTTGCTCTTGGTGAGAAGATGGGTCTTTCTGGCGCCGAACTACGGAAGTGGGTAAGCCAGAAGGAGAAAGAGGCGGTGGAGAGAGAGAGGTTGGCAGCTGAGAGAGCTAAAGAAGAAAAAGCAGCTGAGTTAGAACGAGAGAGGTTGGCAGCTGAGAGGGCCAAGGAAGAAAAAGCAGCTGAGTTGGAGAGAGAGAGGTTGGCAGCTGCGAGAGAGAAGAAAGAAAGAGAGGCAAGGGAGCGACAGCTGAAAGAAGAAAGAGAGCTGCAATTGAAGTTGGAGCTGGAGAAAGAAAGACTGGCAGCTGAGAGGGCGAAAGAAGAAAGAGAGGAAAGGGAACGGCAGCGACAGCACGAGATGGAACTCGAGTGGCTCCGTTTGCAACAGCGAAGTGAAACTCCCGTCCAATCTAGAGTTGAAAGCAGCGAACGGTAAGATCATGGCTTCCGCTTGAACCCAAGCAAGCTGCTCGTGGCGTTTGATGAATGGAAGGGCGACCTTGACGCGTACCTTCACCGATTCGAGACGATTGCGAAGAGCCAGAATTGGCCAGAACATCAATGGGCAACTGGTTTGAGTACTTGCTTGAGTGGTGAAGCGCTCAGTGTGTACCGTAGGCTGACGCCGACCGATGCAGCCAACTATGCAAAGGTGAAAGCTGCTTTGCTGAAGCGATTTAGATTTACCGTAGAAGGATTCCGGGACAGATTTCGGACAGGAAAGCCAGCTGATGGTGAGACGGCTACGCAGTATGCCGCCCGACTTTGCCATTATTTCGACAGATGGATTGAACTTTCAGGGACAGCACAGGAGTACGATGAGCTTAGAGAGCTCCTAATTAGAGAACAATTTCTTACTAGTTGCCACCCAAACCTGTCGCTGTATTTGAAAGAGAGGAAGGCTGAGTCACTTGAAGGAATGCTTGAATTGGCTGATCAATTCTTGGAAGCGCAAGGTGGCACTA